CTGCTGCTCCATAAATATACGGTGTACTCATCCTGGGGATGGGACTGTGATCCTGTGAGCCAGGCATTGGACTAGGTGCTACTCCCAGCTGCGCCACTGATTGGCTGGGTGACCTTGCCCATGTCACTTGACCTTGCTTTGGTTTAGTTTCCTCACTGGGGCTAATGCGGGCTCTCATCCCTTTCCAAAGTGCCTTGAAAGCTGAAAGCACAGAGCATTAATATTTCATGCTCTTAATCTCCCTGTTGGTTATCAAAATCCTCCCAGACATCGAACACTCTGCTGCCTCGGAGCACCAGGGGCTGGAGTTTGCAGTGCATCCTGCAGAAATTGGCTTCGACGGGGTGGCGGGTTTCAGCACCTGGGACAGTGTTTAGCAGAGCAGGGAATGGAATCCCAGGCCAGAGCCTTAACCATTGCACTATCCTTCCTGTCAGGCCCATCTCAGATTTGGCTGCCACCTTGCAGAGGCCTTGTTACAGGAAAACAGGAGCTCTGTGCTGCTCGGGGGCTGCAGGGAGTAGCCCTGTGATAGATTTCCTCCCCACGTAAGTGGTATCATTGAAAGCCAAAGGGCAGTGTGAAACACAGGACTAAAACCCTCGGTGTTACGTGCCCGATTCTGCCGCCCCTGTACCGTATTAAGTAGTACCTTACTCTTTGTGTAGCTGTACTGAAAGCAGGTAGTGTAAGGTACCAGTCACCATGAGAAAGGAGAGCAGAATCGGGCCACAATTCTTTAAAATGCTCTGGCTATGATGATTATTTGCATTACAGCAAGTCCTTAGAGAACCGAACCGAGATCCGGGCCCCATTGTGCCAGGGGCTGAACACAGACCCTGACTGAGATCAGGGTCCCGCTGCACTGAGCCCTGTACAAACACGTAGCAAGAGACAGCCCCTTCCCCAGAGAGCCCCCAGTCTAAACAGATGGGACAGATGAAGAGTGGGAGACAGGAAGGATTATTACCCTCATCTGACAGATCGGGAAGGAGGTCACGGAGAAGAGAAATGATGCACACAAGGTCATTGGGAAGCCTCTGACAAAGCCAAGAACAGAACCATCACCAGGCCCTGAACCCCAGGCCCATCCTTCTTCTCCGCAGAACTCAGCAGGAAGCAACTATGTCGGCAACCCAATGAGCCGTGTCATGACAGGAAGCTCAGGGCTGCAGCCAGAGACATGGGGAACAGGCACAGATGGCCACAGCTCTCTTTGGGTAAATAGTCTGTGGATTTGCCGAACAAGAGTTTTGGAAATTCCCCACTATTCTCTACATTAGCTCCAATCCACCTGCATCTCTGATTTCAATACTAGAGAGTTTTCCCTATTGGAATGACCAACTGCCCAGTTCATACCACTGGAGATTTTTGAGACATATATATATATATATATATATATATATATATATTTCAGGTTCCAGAGTAGCAGCCGTGTTAGTCTGTATCCGCACAAGGAACAGCAGTACTTGTGGCATCTTAGAGACTAACCAATTTATTTGAGCATAAGCTTTTGTGGGCTAAAACCTACTTCATCGGATGCATGCAGTGGAAAATACAGTCGGAAGATTTTATGTACACAGAGAACATGAAACAATGGGTGTTACCATACACACTGTAACGAGAGTGCTTTGGAATTTTCTTGTTGAACTTGTGCATTCTGAGTCAGTGGATTTTCTCCCCCCCCCCAGTCCTTTAAAGCCCTGATCCCTGCAATGAGAACCAGTGCAAGGGAACCAATTGCGAGACTGGGGCCTAAGGCTGTACCAAAAGTCCCTGCACTTTCCCCTTAACGCTGCATATTGCTGCCATGTGCCTCCTCCTCAGGAACTGAACTTGCTGGATGTGATGGCTGACCCTTTGCCCTGAGCAGTTTGCCAGTATTAGGGGCCTGGCAGGGTTGTTGCCATTAGGAGGAGAAATCAGTGATACACGTCCGGTCAGTTCTTGCTTTAATCTTAGAGAATCGTACAAAAGTCCCATTTCCCCGGACTCAGGAGGAGCAAGCAACAGCAGGCAGCAATCTTGCTCAGAAATCCCCATGTCTCCCACTCCAGTGAACTCTGTGCCCAAGAAGTCCTCTCTCCCCGCGTCCTCTCAAGGTCATGCTTCCAACTCCTCCTCCTTGGCTTTTTGCCTCCAGCACGCACAGCTTGTGATCAGTATCCTGGGTCCCCACATGTGACCAGGGATCCCCTTGTTATTTTTCCTTGGCTAACTCTGGCCTGCCATACTGCCTATTGCCTGGGGTGGTCACCACCATTGACTGCAGTTATTTTGACTACATGCTGGGGCGTGATTGCTCCTTCCATTGAGCCTGAAAGAGCAGTTGGCACCCACTGGTTTTAATGAGGTCTGTGATTATCTTTGGATCCAAGACTCACCTGATGGCCGCTATTCACAAGTTATTGGACACTCAGTATGGGGGTATTTGGATGAAATTTAGTGGCCAGTGATATACAGAAAGTCATAGTAGATGATCTAATGGTCCCTCCTGGCCATCAGCTCTATGAATCTATGAATGAATTCACATCCTTCAGCATAACATTATTAAAAAGATATGGGAAATGTTTGCAGCAAAAGCAGAAGCCACAGAACCTACCCCTGGTTCAGAGGATTCTTACTAACCAAGATGAATGAATTCCAGAAGCAAAGGTCAGAAGTCCTCTGGTTCCCATGAGCTATGCACCCGGGACAGACACCTGCTCCGTTCTAGCCAGACTCCGAGGTGGCAGCCAGGGCAGGAGAGGTGGTCTTAGGTAGCTTTTCCCAGCTCATTGGTTCTCCATCTCTTTCCTTCTGCAGGCCATTTCCTAAGAGACAAATAGCCTTCAACAGCTGGTCTTATCCAGTTCCCAAACAACTCCCCACAGTCCACACTGGCTAGCACTTTGCTAGAAAACCCAGCCGAGGCTAAGGGCTGGATGGGCCTCAGAGAAGATTAGGTTGTGTTAATTAACATATGGTTATCCATGACTTAGCAGTCAATGTAGACAGGGACAGTCACGCCTGCTGCACACAGGTAAATCCTACTGGAACCCTAGCCTGACCATGACCAGCTGACAGGGTGTTAAACATGACTTGGCCCCAGTCTACAATGCAGAGTCGTGTTAGTTAGCATGTGTCCTTGAGGTCATGTGCTTAACGTGACCTAAGTCTTGAGTGAAAATCTAGTTCCTAGAGATGTGTCCTGCAATGGCTCAAGAGCACGGGTCCCAACCTCGGGGAAGAGTGATCGAAAACAAGGAACAAACCCACAACTGGGCTGGGCATTCTATACTTGGTTTTCACCAACTATTTACGAAGTGTAAACGCCTCAGGGACTGTAACAGCCAAGCCATGGAGTCACAGACAGTCCCCTTGGGTACTCCGATCTGTCTTGCCACCCAGGCAAGTTACTTGGTCCCTTACATCAAGTATCACAGCAATATTCAGGTCACTCCCAGTCCCAAAGGACCAGTCACTTATCCCAGGTCAGTTGCGCCTCAGATCTCATGCCAAAGACAATGCTTGTAGCCAATCCTATAATAAACTATCTAAAGATTTGTTAACTAGGAAAAGGAAATAAGAAAGTTATTTACAAGGTTAAAGCAGGTAAACACACAAACACAAGTGAGTTCCAATCTTACATTTCAAAAAGGAATAGAAGCTTCTGTGATAAGCAAGGTCTATATGTCCTTTATGGCTAACCAAGGCTAGGCACTGGGGATCTTTTGCTATGCTTAGCACTCCTTGCCCCTCAGAGTCCAAGCAGCATCAAGAAACAGTTCCTCCTTGTAGTGCTTTTTATTCCTTCCCTCCTTCTGCTTTGAGTTGCAAACTCAACCGATGGGAGGAATTCACTTGCACGTCTACTCTTCAGGGGTGGGGTAGGGGGTAGAAGCAATCCACACAGCTGTCTGTGGGCCTTCTTACACCTGTTGGAGACTAGTATTTCACATTCATTAATGCTTCTCTCCTGCCTGGCAATTGTAGAGGCTTACAATGCAAACGCCTCAAATATCACCGTACAATATGGGATACGGAGGTTCTCAGGGAGATGAATGCAGACGGCAACTCACAAGCATTCAATAAAGTCTAAACACGTTTATGCGTGTAATACCTATTTTAACAACACTAACACCCGGTGAGCCAGACTGGTCCCAGCTTGGTGTTTGTCAGGGTTCAGTGGAGACATGGGGACTTGGCATCAGCTGGCCCCGGGCTTGCCAGCGTCACACATCCCCAGTCAGTGTGTGTATGTGAAGGACACTTGCCTGCCTGCTGCCTGCACTGTTCCTGGGTAGAGAGAGAGAGAGGGGCTTTGTTTTTACCCGCTTCCATCCTGACCCCTTTTGTCAGCGCTAAATACACGCAGAATTTAAAAGCAACATACAAACGTCCCACTGCAAAACAGCCAGCCAGGCACCTGGGCCTCAGTCGAAGGCCTCTGGCGTGTACATCTCAAGCAGGCTCAAACGGGGATTTTGTACGTACATGGCGGAGGGTTGGGGGGGGGGCTCCCAAAATTAATCCGGGGGAAATACAGGAAAGACTCTGCGTTGCCAGGAAAAACAATGAGTCCTTAAAGACTAACGGATTTACTTGGGCATAAGCTTTCGTGGGTAATACAACCCCACTTCTTCAGATGCCAGTTTAACAGACCAGGCAACCCCCGAAGGGAAGTGGGGCTGGTGGGGGAAACTCTTCTGCTCTCTACTCTCTATCGTAGGCCCCGCTGGGCAGCTGGGGACGCCGGGCCCCCGAAAGCCTTTGTTATGGCAACCCTACAATTATAACGCCTTCCGGGTGACCCCAGCCCAGCTGTTGCCCGCCAGATGCTGCTGCAGCGGTGGGGGCCCCTGGCAGGACCTCTCCCTGCAGCTGGGAAGACGTGGGGCCCCGCAGAGCGACCCACCCCCGCTCAGAGGCCATCATCCCACACCGCGCCCCGCACAGCGGGGCCAGCCAGCTGATGGGGGAGACCCCCCCTCGAGGGGGCGGGGCCCGCCCGGTGCCAGGCCAATGAGGAGCCCGGCGGGTGCCAGGCCGCCAATGGGCGGGGAGGGAGGCGGAGGCGTGGCGCTGGAAGCCCCGCCCCGGCGCGGACAGCTGGAATCGGGCGATGGGGGCGGGAGTGGGATGAATTGTTTTGGAGTCGGCGGCGCGGCGCCCGCCTGGCTCCGCTCCCGCGCAGGGGCCGCTCCGCCGAGTCTCCCCCCCCCCCCACCCTGCGCGGGGGGGGGGCAAGGGGCCCCACGCGGGCTGGGGCGGAGTTTGGGGAATCGCGGGAGGAGGCGCCGGCTGCAGAGGCCCCCCCAGCTCCCCGAGCCCCGCGACACGCGTGGGCCCTGCCCGCGGACCAGACCTGTAGGGGGAGGAGCCCCCATCGCCGTGGAAAGGAGGTGAACGCTGACCCCCGCCCCCCCCCCACGGCGAGGGACCCTGTCCTGAGCCCCTGGCCCCCCCCTCGCCGTGCCGGAGAACGGGGGGGGGCAGCCTGCGCCGGGGGCTCCCGGGAGGCGAGTGGAAAGTTGTGGAAGCGAAAACTCGCGTGGGACCCAGGAGCGAAACTGCCCGCGCGTTCTGCGGCGGGAGCAGCCCCCTGCCCCGCTCTCCCTGCCCGGGGGGGGTCCCTCTGCTCGGCTGCCCCCCGAGGCGGGGCCGCTGGCCGGGGCCGCGCGTGGGAGCCCCGGCTCTCGTGGGGCAGCGCCTGGCCGGCTGAGGAGGCGGAGCGGGGAGCGGGCTCCTCCTCCGGGGGGGGGTGCCCTGGCCATGGAGGCAGCCGCGAGATCGCCGCCTCCCCGGCTCCCTCCCCCGCCGCCGCCGCCGCTCCGAAGTCTCTGCTGCGATTCCCTGCTTCTTTCCTCCGGAGCCGCCTGCGCCCCAAGGGCTCTTCCCCGCGGAGCCGGGGGGCCCGCACCCGGGGACTGAGCCGCCGCTGTGTCCGCGACCAATCCCGGAGCACCTGCCGCGCGGAGCCAGGTAACGCACCCCCTTCCCGGGCTGGACCCGGCAAGCCTCTGTGCTCCGCCATCCCCCCTTCTTTGCACGCACACAAGCCCCTCTTTCCTTTGCACACGCACCCCCCCGTTTGCACACACACACACAAACACCCCCGTTCGGAACGCACACCCCCCCCGGATGCACACAGTGAGATCCCCCCTTCCTTTGCACACGCACCCCCGTTTGCATGCACACGCTGTTGGGACGCACCCAGACCCACAGACGCTTTGTGGGCACACTAACACGCTGGCTTAGATTTTGAAACCGGTTTGAGAAGAGCGTTTGGTGCTGTTTTGACCCTGCAGTTAGTTTGGGGGCTGCAAGATGGGACCTCTCCAAGTTTCATTATTCTTGAAAAGTTGCATAAGGGACCACGGGGAGGGGGGTGGATTGGGTTTTCCCACTGCTCTTGACCCAGGCTCCCTCCACCCCACCCTCGCAACACAGCTGATTTGGTTGTTTTGCTCTCCTCCTTTTCCGTAAGTGTCCCCAGATCTGGTTGTCTGCACCTTTGCAATAAACTGCAGGGTCCTGTGAGCGCGCTCCGCAGGTGCCTTGTCGCTCCTCTCTGTACAGAGGTGCAGCTGGCTGATCCCCAAAGGGCCCCTGGGGATGCATGGGCCCTATGGGGAGGGATGGGCGTTGTCGCTGGGTTGTCAGGGTGGTTCTAACAGGCCCGGCGCTGCTGCCATCTTCACCAGAGAGGCTGTCCAACTGCAGCGCACGGGGGCAAAGGGGAGGCAGATAGGAGACATCAGCAGTCAGTTGTTTGACACAAGCAACAGAGAGCCCCAAACAGGCTGCAGATGGAGAACCTAAGGGGCGTTCCTGCACCCAGCTTTCCTGGGGCCTTGTCCTGCAGGCCGCTCCCATTGGGGTTCTCCGTTGGGGGCACTCGGCAACCCCCGCGCTCTGCCCCGGGTGCAGCGTGTCTGTCAGCCCGAAAGCAGCCCCGGGACCCAGCTTCAGACGGGGACTTGCTGTGTTGTCAGCAAGTTCTGTGCGCCCTCCACCAAGGGCGTGGGCGTGGGGCGTTGGAGCAGGCTGTCTGGTCTGGCACCCTGCCTGTGAGTGCCCGGTCCGTGAGGGTTCAGAGGAAGGCGACTCTCCCACCCCTGACGGTGCCCTTGGCGAGCAGCGGCGGGTGGGAACAGAATGTCTGGCTGAGCCCCGTTGCTGGCGCACTTTACCTCTCCGGGTAACTCCGGTGTTTGAGTCGCTTTATTGAGTGCTAGCCCTTACACTGGCCTCTGAGACTCCCGGAGCACGAACACCCCTGGTACGGGAGCCCCCCTTTCCCGTGCTCCAAGCGTGTTGGCTGTTAACATCTGTGCAGACCCCCTGGTTATGGGACGGTGGAAAGTGACTGCCCAGGTTTCCCTCCCCCTGTGGCATCTTTGTTTGGGGTGTGGGGGAATGACCCCCCCACCCATCCCCTTCCCCACCTTCTTCCTTCCACACAAGGAGTTTTCAGAGTGAGCTTGCTGTTATGTGGTTTGGGATGGGGAGGTGCAGAAGGAAGCCCTTAAATTGTGATGGGAGGTGGGCGCATCTCATCAAACGCACTGAGCCAAATCCATCCCTGCTGTAATGCCCTGATGGCATCTCGCCAGGGATGATTTGGCCTGCTCATGTTACATGAGGTTGAGAATGATATGCTTTGGGTGCTGCTGCGTCCTCTGAAACCCCGGGGGATCCCTTATCTACCAATTGTTGCAGCAGGATGCTGGGATATGGTGGGAAAAGGCAGAAAGTAGCTAAGATCTCACGTACCCCACTCGGTGATTACAGTGACAAAGAAAAGGTGACAGATTCCTCCCATTGTAAGTGTCCTGCCAGGCACTAGGCATTAATTCCAGATCATGTTGGTCACTCTCAGAGCAAATGCCGATGCAGAAAGTTTTATACGTACAGGGTGGGAGTCCCTGCCCTTCTCAGTAGGGCTGGGCACTAAATGCTGTCCCATCCTAGGAAATTTCTGAGATTTAAAAAAAAAAAAAAAAATCCCATGCCCAACTGATGAGAAGTCGAAATCTCAGAAATGTTCCCAAGCCGATAATCCAAAAAATTTTTGGTTCAGCTCGGATCACCTGCAACGTTGTGTTGTGATGTGGACTTTTTTATTTTTAAAAACTTTTTAAAAGTATAAACTAAACTTTCAAGACAAAAGGTCATTTCAGATTGAAAAAGGAAACTTCACATTGAATTTCTAAATGTGGACATTTCCTGACCACCTCCAATTCTCTGATCCTTAGCCCCAAATTTAGGAATTTTTTTTTAAGAGCAAAAAAATCATGAAAACTTGTTTCTACTGTTAGTTCCAGTGATCACTTCTAAAAAAACCCAGAACAAACTCGTCCGTGGTGCTGGGGCATTTGCACCCCGGACATTGCAGGCTTGTGCTGTGGCATGAGGAAACTGAAAGAGCAGAGAGGGTGTTAGTTTTAAGCAAAATGTCCCATTTTCAATCATCCGGAGCTCTGTTAGCAACAACAAGGAAGGAAATGTGCGCTTTGATGTGTAGTCAGAGGCTCTGGATGCTGGCCGTGTCCCTTGAAGAATGCACACATCGCACTTGGCCGGCGGCCCTTTAAGATTTCACACACCACGCTTTGTTACATGTAAGTGGAGAAATTGTTCCTTGGCTTCAGATGAGGGATGGGAGGGTTGGGCTGCCCCCTCCCCGCCCCCCTGCCTCCCAGCTGCGGGCGCAGTGCGAATGAATGCATTGGGGAAGCACTGCATCGGGCAGCTTGACCCTTTTACTCCAGAGTTCGTTTTGCTGCCCCCGGAGCCCAGATCATTTCAGAGCCGAATGAGGTTGATGTTTATGTGGGGCGGGAGGTGGCGCAGTGTCCTTGCAGGGGCAGAGGGAGCTAGACCGGTGCGGGATAGATTTTCTACACTAAGCCGGGGCTATTCAAAGCCAGCCGTGGGTGAGGGAGCTCTGATCTGCAGCCTGGGGACATGGTTTTGCTTACGTAAGGAGGCTGGCAATGGGTTACTGCAGGTCGAATGGCTGGGGTGGGAAAGGAGGCAGTTCCAAGAAGCTTCCTCATTGTGCATGCGAGAGCGGAGCGGAGCTCGGTCCTGTTCTCTCTCCCTTTCCCATCGGTCCTGGGTACCGGCCTGGGATGCAGTGTTTGTGCAGACACCTCTGTCCTGCGCCCCTCCCACTGTCCTGGACGGGACAGCTCCACACCCTCCCTGATCTCCCGCTGGGGGAACGTTTCCAGAGTTTCACCTGAAATGTCCCGTGGCTCAGTTTCCCCCCAATACTCCAAGTTCTGGACAGTTGCCTCCTCTCTGTGGTGGGGCAGGGAGCCAAGCGGGCAGCCTGAGCTCGGCCACGCAAGCTTTGATCGATGTGCTGCAGGAATTCCAGTTGTCCGTCCCACTGCCCCCATGGTATCTGGGTGTAGGAATGATTCCCAGCTGAGAGCGGCCCCCCCGGGTTCCCCTCCGTCTAGCCAGGTGGAGGCATCTCTCTGATTCTGGCAGAGCTCCTCTCTGCAGACCTCAAAGGGCTCAGTTTGCGTCCAGTGTGCACCTACCTGGGGAGCTGTCCCGTCCAGCTCTGCGAGGCTCTGAGGACGCTCGGCACTTCCCAGGAGGCACTCAGCACCCTGCAGGATTAGCTCTGTGCCGCTGTGAGAGGAACAGAGACTAGATTGTGGAGCACGGTGCAGGACTCCCATGGTAACATGAAAAGGCTCCTCTGATGAATGGCAGCAGCGCCCCAAGGTTTCCTGGGCGATCACTGTGAACTCTCAAATGTTCCCCTATCGCTCTGTGCAGAACCTCCGGCTGAGGCATTCAGCAGCTAAGCGAATGACCCTTGCCTGTCCCAGCTCACGGGAATGGGTTTAAACATCAGATAGTCTGTTTCAGGTGGACTTAGTGCTGGGCAAAGGCTGTTGGATTGGAGAGAGAGCACAGGAACTGCCAGACTGGCTCAGACCCCTGGTCCAGCAGCAGCAGGTGCTTGAGAGGAAGGTGTGAGAACCCCACAGAAGCAGATGTGTAGGGCCCTACCAAATTCACTGCTGATTTTTGTCAATTTCACTGTTATAGGATTTTAAAAATGGTTTCACAGTTTCAGGTGTTTACATCTGAAAATTCATGGTATTGCAACTGTGGGGGTCGTGAGCCAAAAGGGAGTTTTCGGGGCAGGGTTGTGGGATTATCACCCTTATTTCTGCGCTGCTGCTGGCGGGGGCACTGTCTTCAGAGCTGGGCTCCCAGCCAGCAGCTGAAGAGCTTCCTGTAGCCGGGCGAGGTTCCCGGAGGTGGGTCTGACCCAGCTCCAGGAGCGGCCCCTGCAGGGTGAAGAGGGATCCTGTCCCTCCCCAGCCTGGGGCGGGACTAGTAGCAGGAGCCTGGTGCACAGTAGGAGACCCCGGCTGGGGCGCCCCCAGCCCTGACCCTCCCCTACAATAGCCACATTTCACAGGGGAGATCAGATGTCATGGTCCATGGTGCTTTTTTCACGGCCATGAATTTGGTAGGGTCTCTACAGATGTGAGATCATCTGCCCCTTACAGGTCTCACCTTGGTCTTTCATCGTTCGCGATCAGCCACCTTCCTGAAGTGCCAGGTTTAATCTCCCTTCCAGAATGTTTTGTGTCAACAGGGATCCCTCAGGCAGTGACAGCGCAAGCCCCTCTTCCATGCGCTCTCCCACCAGTGTGCTTCACCCCTGAATTACAGATTTCCCACTTCAGTTCAGTCTCCTACCTCCATGTGGCCTCCTTCCTGCATCAACACAGGGGCTGGTTAGGGCCAGTCGTGGCGGCAGGTTTTGTAGGGACCTGTCCATGGGAATTCAAAGGATACCCACCCAAATCAGCTTAAACAAGGGCTACCAAACAGCCAGAAGGTGGTAACTGCTTCTGGGTCCCTGTGACTAGGATGGCCCCGTTTCCAGCCCCGTGGTTAATCCCATGCAGCCAAGACAGGGGAGGGCAGAGCGTGGGGAGCAGGGGGAAGTGTTCCAGTGGGGACACGTTCAGTACAGGGTCTTGGCAGAGCAGGGTGGAGGCCCCTGGAATATGCCTTTCTCCCCATTCTACTGGGTGTATGTAACCGTCCCTGTGGCTTAGCCCACGTCTTTGGCTGGCTGTGTTTGGGGAGATGACTTTGCCCACCTCTGGGATAAACTTTTTGTCCCGAGGGCCACATTGGGGAAAGAAATTGTATGGCGGGCCATGAATGCTCACAAAATTAGGGTTGAGGTGCGCGGGGGTGAGGGCTCTGGGGTGGGGCTGGGGATGAGGAGTTTGGGGTGTAGGAGGGTGCTCTGGGCTGGGACCGAGGGGTTCAGAGGGCAGGAGGGGGATCAGGGCTGGGGAAGGGGTGTAAGTTCCGGCTGGGGGGGCGGGCTCTAGCATGGGGTTGTGGTGAGAGGTTTGAGGTGCAGCAGGGTGCTCCGGGCTGGGGCAGGGAGTTGGGGTGTGGGGAAAGGCTCAGAGGGTGCAGGCTCCAAGCAGCACTTACCTCAAGCGGCTCCCAGAAGCAGTGGCATGTCTCCTCTCCAGCTCCTATGCAGAGGCGCAGCCAGGCGGCTCTCCACCCTGCCCTGTCCGCAGGCACCACCCCGTGTGGTGCGGCCCCAACCCAGTGCCCCGGCCGGAGCACCAGAGTGGGGCAGAGCTGCGTGGTGCAGCTTGCGAGCCCACCCACGGGCTGTAGTTTGCCCACCCCTGCTTTACCCTGTTTGGCAATATCTCACCCTGTCCTCCTTCCCTGCCCCTCCAAGTACACCATGCTCACTGACCTGCCTTGGAAGTAATAAAAATTGCGTTTGCCTCCCGCTGCGTGGGCTGGCTCAGCTCCACAGGGAGAGCACGACCTCTGCTCGCCCCGCCAGGGCACACGGCAGGACAAGGAACGGGTGGCCGCAGCGTGGGGGGATCAGTCTGAGAAGTGAGACCTGGGAGGAGCCCCAGTGACCTGACTGGCTTCAGGGTGCTGATGCGCCTGATTGAAAGGGGGCACACCGCCGTGGTGATGCAGGGCTTTGAGCCACCGGGTCATTGCCCCGGCTGTCCTGGGGGGAATGAGGGTGAGCTGGAGAGATGGTCTCCAGGGCCTGCCTCCCCTTGTCAATGAATGCTGGTGCCGGGTGCCAGGCTGGCAGCTCTAGCCAATGAATCCCGTTCACCCCCAGAGCCAGGCGCATTCAAGGGCCAGCAGGGAGTTGGGGCTGCTGAAGTTCCCAACAGCAGGGCCGGCTGTGGCGGTGGGTGCTGTCGCCATGGGGCTCAGTCTGCAGGGAGCCAGCCTGACACCCGCTAATCCGGTCATCCAGTGAGCCAGGCGTCCACTTGCCCAGCTAATGACACTGCCCTTGTCTTTACCGTCCCAGGCGCGTGGGTGAGACATCGGGGACACAGCCTGTCACAGCCGGGACCGAAGCTGCTGGCGACGGGATGGTGGCAGTCCTAGGGGAGCCGGCCTTGACTGTCCTCCAGCTCAGGGAGCAGCTGAGGAGTAACAGCAGCCGACGTCCCGCCCAGCTGCTCCGTGGCTGCCGCGTCTCCTGATCTGGGCCGCTCTTCTCCGCTCCCAGCTCTCTGGGACCTCGGCCCCACCCGACGCAAGAGCGTAGCGGAGATCTGGCCGCTGCCACCGCCTGCGGCCCCAGGGCGAGCGGATCGCTGCAGGGGGCAGTGCCGTATCACACGTGTCGTGGTGAAGGAGAGGGTGGTTGGGATCTAAAGCAGCCCCCCACTGGGAGGAGACAGAGATTGCCAACGCCCGCCTCATCCCCCCACCAGAGGAAAGCCCCTCCGTAGGCGACTCCCCTGCTAACCTCCTCTGGAATGAGAGATTCTTGGGACTTAGGGCAGAAAACGTCTGGGGCTTGCCCAGAGCCGGGGTTTCAAGACCACTTCTAGACCCAGCCGTTCACCTCCTCCCCTGCCAATGCATTTGGGGTGGGCACAGCCGTCTCCGTCGTTGGGCCAGGCGTCTCTCCCAGAGCAGGCAGAGGCCCCGGGGTCGATGGGCAGAGGGGAGGCCTGTCTTTCCCAGGGGAGTGAGCGGCCTCGCCCTTGACTGCCTCCCCGGGGAGCGGCGATGGGGTCAGGGCTGTCCACCGGAGCAGTAGTTGCGATTTCCTTTAACTGCGTCATCGCTTTGCTGATCCTCATCCTCTTCCTGATCCTGTGCAAGGCCTGCAGGACCCCGTCCTGCCCCAAGAAGAGCCCGGACATGGACGAGACGAAGAACGAGGAGAAATACCTGCTCCAGCCTTGAGTCGCTCCACGTCCCAGGACAGCTGGGGTGCTGAGGGTTTGAAGGAAGGATTGATAGCTTGTCCCATGGGCTCTCTCCACCAACTAGCTTGTAAGCCAGACCACACAGAGACCCCCAGGCTTGCGTTCAGGAAGCAGCTTGTCCTGCCTTGGACCTGACTGAGGAGTTTGAGCGGCCAGGCCGGCCGGCATCAGTTCCCTCACAGCCACCTGAGGGAGAAGGGAGCGTGTGTCGGGGTGGGGGCTGCCCTGATGAGGGGGCTCTGCAGAACGGACGCTCAGGGGGAAGTGACTCAAAATGAAGAGGAGACTGAGCGGGGCTCGGGGGGGAGTGTGGGAGGCAGGCTGGGCCTTTCACCAAAGGACTCGCGCTCGCTGGACCCCTCTGCCGCGGGGCCACCTGTGCTGGACTCGGTCCTGGCTGGCTGAGCCCCTCGCAAAGGGCTAGTGAGGCTGCATAAAGGAACTCTCATTCTTGGGGGTCTTCCAGCCCCTCTCCCATTGCACTGCCTGGGTTGCAAACAAACCCCCGATGAGCGGGGGCACGGGCAGGCGAGCCTCCGTGGCAGGACGTGCTCCCTGGCGAGCAAGCTCTCTCCAAAGCCTCATCTAGCTGGCAGGGAGAGCTGCCTTCAGGCCGTTCTGTTTGCTTGGGGTGGTGTCCTCTGAGGCGCTAGCAGCTGCAGGGACCACCCGTAAGGCTTGGCTTCCCTAGTCCGTGCGGCACGGTGAGCCGGAGGCCGTCACCAGTGTGAACGCCATGATAAACAGCCGCTAGAGTCTGTGTGCTGACAAACCCTGTGTGGCCGGCCAGCCGGGAGCAGGCAGCTTGTGATTGTTAAATATAGACGAGGGGGCTGGATGGGTTCGTTTGGGGCTTTGCCTGGCTTGAGAGAGCTCTGGAGTCAGATGGTTTGGGCACGATCCCCAGAGCTATTTAGGTGCCTAATTCCCCCTGAAATCAATGAGATGCTGTAGCTGGGGAGAACTGCTGGCCCCTTCCCACTCCCCGCTATTCCCCTCAGAACTCTCCTCGGGGTCGCAGGCAGCCCCGGTGTCTTGGAGTAGCCTGGCTCAGCTGTTTCCATCCCACCCCTTCTCTCGGCCCCCGGAGCCAGGCACACCCAGTTACCAGCCGCAGCAGGGGTGCTTCCAGCCCAACGTGCTCGCACTGGCTACCAAGCACCCCTAGGCTCTGTGCAGTCTGGGGGTTGGGCAAGCCCAGCCTGCATCCCCCATCTCTCCTTGTTACAGTCCTGTCATTTGCACCGAACGCCATGAACTTAGCCCCTGCCCAGCTGAGGGACCTGCGTGACTTGGCTGTTCCCGGCTGGTCCCTTGGGGCAGAGACAGTCCAGGAGGGAGTGGGGAAAGCTGGCCAGCTGGCTGGGAGGAGAAGGGTGCCCCCTCTGTAGTCAGTGTGTCTTTGTTTCCCTGTGCCGGAGGGCCAGGCCTGCTCAGAGCCCCGCGAGCGCCCAGAATAGCTGCAGCGGCTGTGCGGTTGGTCAAAGGTGATGAGGATTTCTGCCACGGGGATAGCTGGGAGCCTTAGTGGTGCTGGTGCCCCCCAGTCCTGGGGTCCCTCTGCCCCCTTCCTTTGTGTAAAGGCCCAGCCTTGCTGGGAGCAGACCTGCTGGCTGCCAGGGCATTTCTGCTGGGAGGCCCGAGGCTGTTCCTGTAAGTGACCTTTTCGGAGCACGCGGCTCCTTTTTCCCCCGTCTCGGCCCTTCCGCCCCCTCCTGAGGGTTGTACCCTCAGCCCCATGGCAGGCTCTCCTCCTGCTTCCAGCCAATCCCACCCACTGGGTTCCTCGGTGCTAGGGAGGTCTGCTGCAGCTTGGGAGCCTGGTGTTGCATCCGCACGCGCTGGGCTCCAGGTCAGGCCCCAGGGGCTGTGACATCACACACGTCCCCTTGCCAGCCCTTTGTGATGTCACACGCAGGCGTTAGGGTTACGGCAATTCACCATCAAGCGTAAACTTCTGAAAGGGGAGCGTGTCCCTGCCCCTGGGCTGCCTGGCTGCACCTGGAACATTTGCCAGGCGCTTTGTGCCTGGCCCTGTACCTGTGTGTCCCCGCAATCACGTTGTCTCTGGCGTGCTCGGCAGCTGGGGGCTCCCTGGGCAGCCCTGAAATGTTGGACAGGAATCAACCCCGTAGATCACCGGGGGCCTGTCATCAGAGCTTCCCACCCGGCCGCTGCCAGCTTCAGCCATGCCAGCTAGAGGTGCTGCTCTGCTTTCTACTGGGATGGGCACGGGGAACACGCAGTCGCTGCAGCTCCTGGGCCAGGAGTCCTGAGATACCTAGGAGAATAAATGAAAGGATCTTCCAACCCAATGCAATTCAGGCAGCAGCCGGTACTGATGCTAAGGGGTGATGAACGGACTTCACAGCAAACCAGTCCCTGTGGTCCGGCACATCACCATGTTGCTGATTACAGGCACTTGCCCCTGATAGCATCAGTGTTCACAGGCCCGCACAGCCCCCAGTGTCCACCCCCATCCATCCCCTGCCCTCACTTAGCACTCTGCATTATCAGAGCCTCAGTAAATCACCTGCAGCCTAGTTTACAGCCAAGCAATAGGTCGATGCTCATCAGACAAAGGCCTTCGCAGGGGTCTTTGGTGCAGTCATCAACTCTTCTCCCCCTTCCCTTGAGTCAGCACAGCTGTTGCAATAAGCACGCTTGTGTGTGTGTGTGTGTGGGGGGGGGGTGTCTGGGTTGTATGCCCAACACAGTTGGGTTGCCAGCAGGGTCCCCTGGGGCAGGATCTGTGCTCCTCACCCAGGTGGCTTTTGTTCTTTCACTTGCTAAGAGGCAGAGTGACTATGTTTCCTTTTGGCTTCTCATGGTAATGACGCACCGTCAGGTGTAACGTCCCTTTGCGGTTGTGTTTTTACTAGACTAATAAAACTATCGTAGTAAATAGGAAGCTGCTTTGTGCTCTGTTTTGATTTTGTCACTGAGCCAGAAGAAATCTAGGGCAAGATTTCCAGGGGAGCGTGCTCCCGAGCTCTGCAGGCAGAGGGTACAGGGCGAGGAAGGGTCATCTAGCAGCGAGAGCTGGGGTTGGGTTTTTGGATGCATGGGGTAGGCTACGCACATCGCTCGCAGTTCCAGGCTCACATATTACACTTACAGGGTTTGGCCTCCAGGAGGAATGTGAGTGTACTTACCACAGTGATGGAGCAAGGTCATAGAATCATAGAATATAAGGGTTGGAAGGGACCCCAGAAGGTCATCTAGTCCAACCCCCTGCTCGAAGCAGGACCAATTCCCAGTTAAATCAGTCTATTAGAGCCGGCTCATCTCCCTACCTTCCATCCCACGCTGCGGCCCCAAGCAGGGTGGGCTCCCAGGGTCTTTAGGACAGGACACTGCTGCTCTAGGACTGGGGTTGCTGGGTGGCTCAGAGACGCTGGAATACTGCTGCTTCACCCCTGCCCTAAATCTGGCTCTTAGCAAGCAGGCCAGGGTGGTGGGTGAGGGGGGCTGGCAGGGAATGTGGGGTCCAGTGGGTCTGTGCTGTGACCAGCTACGGCCCCTTGCTGAGGCCCAGCCTGCGGGCTGTCCTCAGCCAGGTAAATGCATGCGAGTGGCAGCCGGGAGGGCCAAGTACCAGTCATGTAGAGGGTCCGATCCACTCTGGTGCTGAGCACTCACTGAACGCAGGGGGAGCTGACGGTGCTCAGGTGGCAATCAGCACCCTGCTGGGTCAAGGCCAGGCTAAGGAGGGGAAAACGGACAGGCTAAGCCCTGGAGTCAGCCAAGGCTGAGAAGGCAGCAGCTCTAAGAGAGGCTGCAGTGGTAACAGCTTTGCGTGCACCTCCTGCGCGGAGTCGAGCTGAGTCAGGCATGAGCACAGAGCCGGCGCGCCGGGGCGTTCAGCTCCTCGGGGAGCAGCAGCCCAGATCGGCAGGGCTGGCTGGCAGCCACCGTGCCATTCATGGGGCACAGACGAGAGGGTGTGCGGGCACATGCTCCTGTGCAGGGATGTGGGTGCAGATGTGGTTGTGGGCATGCAGTCAGGGTGTGTGTGAGCATGAGCAAGTGTGAGCATGGGGTGACAGGATACATGGGGCTGACACGGGCCTCGCATGAGTACAGGGACCCGGCGTTGGGCTGACATGCCAACCTGGAGAAAACCAGTCCTGGTAGTTCAGAAACAAACACCTAACCGATGCCAATGTTGTCAGTGGGCTGTGGAGATTTGAACGCAGCCTGACTGCAACATCTCTGGGCCTCATAATAAATGCTCGGGGAGTTTCTGACGGGCTGTAAGAGTTAAAGACCGAGTTCTGTGGGCCTCCCAAGCTCTACAGGAACGACCAGACAGTGCCCCAATAAAACGAGTACTAAAGCAATTCGGCCGTACCGGTCAGCCCCTTCTCGGAAACGGGAGGGAAATTTGGGACCCAACTTTAATAGTCAGTTACATTTGTTGAAACAAAACCCCAATGGACCCCTTCACGGCGGATGTTCAGCAACCCCCACCCCACCCACCCCCAAAAGCACCGCTCCCCCCCCAAAGGCCCACAGGATGCTGGCAATCGCAGCTGCAGAGCAGACCCAGCCCTGTTCCCCCCGCTAATCAACATGCAGACAGGAATATTCCGCTTCTGGTGCTAGCTCAACCAAAGCAGCAAATAATAATCCCTCTGCCCCAAAGCAGGAAAGCAGCTAAAAGGATATGCAAATGAAAGCCCCATCCCAGCATACAAATCTTTGCTCAGTAGCAAAAACAAATGAACACAAAAAGCCAATAAAACCTTGCAAGCAGCAAGGA